CTTTTGATATGGTAATATGAGAAATTTTGTGAAAGTAAATAATGTCTCATAATGATTATAATGCATCATGTGTATGTGTAGTGTAGTACATGTAATGTGATGTAATGATCGTAAAGAATGCAATTTTTGTCAAAATTGTTGTAACTTTTGTAAAAAAAATTGTAAAACTTTTGTAAAATTTCTTGTAACTTTTGTAAAAAATTGTCGTAACTTTTGACATAATAGTAAAGTGATCACCTTCCTTGCTGACCATAATTTGAATGGCCTCCTTGATATCGTTGTACATTTTTATCTTTGGGTCGTTGTTGTCTTTTAAAGAAGAAATTAAATTATAAGAAAAATGTTTTATTTATAGTTTTTAGTAATAAATGAATTAAATGTCTATATGTTTGATTTATAAAAAAAAAACACAAAAACAAAATCATACCAGTATTTTTGTTCAGAAGTTATTTATTTTATAACAACTAGTCTAAAACAAAGTTAAATGGAAATTTATAATTATAAAATACTTTTTTTAATCTTCTTTGGTTTTCTAGTTAATGTCAATTCGCTGACATCTTCACCACAAACATCTTTCTTGCGTTTCCTACTGTTACCTTTGGAGAAATGAAATGTAAATTAAGGTAAATGCAAATCAATATAATTAAGTTGTTAAAAATTGGAAAGAAAGAAAAAGAGAGAGAGAGAGAGAGAGAGACTGACTAGAGAGAGATTCAACTCTATAGATTTTTAATTATACATTATTCTTTTTTTTCAATTTCATTTTTTCTCAAACATGACACCTCAACCAAAACCAGTTGAAATTGAAGATTAAAATTTCAATTTGAATAAATTTCAATCATAAAATCTATTAATGAATTCTATTTCACTAACTTGTAGATGCCATTTCTGAGATCTGAGATCCGGACAAACGCAGAAATTTCCTAATTAAATAACGCAAAACTATTAAACGCAAACACGTGGGTATGTAAACATAAACAATACGAGGTCTGACTAAAGGGTAAAAAAGCAACCATTAAAAGTGAATCATTTGAAAAAATTTCTTACTTGTGTGTATGTGTATGTGAGATAGAGAGAGAAAGAGGAATAGAAAGAGAGAAAACAAGAAAGAGAAAGAAATCAAAAGTTAGAAAAAAATTAGACACGTTAAAACTACCTAGGGATTTCTTCAAAACATGGAGTCTCATGATCAAGAACTAACTCATCTTTAATGATGCATAAATTGTGACTCTGGGAATTGAAAATAATGTTAAGTACTAATTATTTCTCAAAAAGTTGTGGGATTATCACGTTTTACAGGGTATAATATGCTAACATGCATCTATAATGTAGGTATGTACGTAAGGACAGTGACATACACTTACATACACAGATATATATTCATACAAGCGCCGCATATATGCATTTATCTTTTATCAAAATTATTCCTAATTTCACCTTTTAACTATATTAATTAGTAACACACGCACAACTACAAAAGAACCATGATTATTAATCACACCTATTAAAAAAACCTGCCTTTCGAAAATGAAACAAAGTAAAAACTTGAATGGTTATTCCTAGAACATCTTCTTCTATTACTACGGCAGCTGATGCAACTATTACTGCTGCTTCAAATAGCAACACCATGGCAAGCGACTGAGGCAACCACTGCTGCCACTTTTTCGGTTCCTTCCACAGTACGACTACTTTGTTAAAACTGATGATGCTACTGCTACTACTTCTGCTGCTACTTCTGTAGCTACTTCTGCAGCTTCTACAAAGACTACTACCATTAATTTTTTATTCTTTCTCATTAAGCCATTAAGCTATTCAACTAATTAAAAATACAAAAGCTTTAATTGTCATGTAATCATCATCTGAACAGTAATGAAAACCGTAGTCGTCATAAATGGTAATTGTAGTAATAATACTAAGACAGCGTAATAACTTCTTCAACTACTTTTGACGGGACATTTTACAAATTGTATCATTATATGTATATTACTTCATATAATGTATATAAAAACATACATATATATATATCCGTATAATAACGATTAATATATACATAAAAACACATCATATACACATGCATATGATTTATTTGTATCAGTATCTATTACTCAGTACACATATATATATATGATATACGAACATATATATATATATATATATATATATATATATATATATATGCAACTGCTTATATATAGCCTCTATTTAATCGTTCTTTGCTTTCTTTGTTCTGGGCGCGATAATTAAATATAAATGCTGAAGGGGTCTCGGAATTATTTCACTAATTTTACACTAATTCTCACTTATTTTTTGGACCGTTGGGTGATTCAGTTGTTAGGCGGATCGTTGGGGACTAAGTTAATGAGTTTGTAGTTTTGTTTTTTTATTTTTTTTTTGTTAAATTTAATTTCTAATTGAATTTTTAATAAATTTTTAATAATTTCTATTTAATTTTTAATTAATTTCATTTATTTATTCAGTTCTTTATTAAATTATTTTGTTTCAGACTCAAATAAAAATTATTGTCACATTTTGTTTATTTATATTTATGTATAATATATTCTATTAATTTTCTATTTTTTTAATGTGGTTTAAATAACTAATAAAATAAAAAGATATTGATTGAACATTATTATTATTATTATATTATTATTTATTCATCTTTATAATCATTTAGGTATTCACTCATATTTTTGACTGAGTCATTTATTAATATTAGTAGTATATATAAATTATATATATATATAAATTATATATATATATAAATTATATGTATATATATATATATATGACAAGTCTTAGAATATATTATATATATATAATATATATATATAAACAAACAGTAAAGCTTTCTATTATTTAAGCTTCTGATGAATGCCTTTTTATTTAAATCTAACAATTCGTTTATAAAAAAATTTCGTTGCTAATATTTTTATATTATATATACCCTTGCTTGCGTGTGTGTGTGTGTGTATATATATATATACACATGTGCGTTTTGTGTGTGTCTTTTGTGTTGTGTGTGTGTGTATTCTTTTATTTTATGTTATATGATTCAACCATCATTTCATCATATTCTTATCAATGTTAGCTTTTCTCATTCATTCATTCTTCATTCATTGTGTTCAGTCTCTCTGAGTTTACTTTTGTGCATTTTTATGTATACATTGGTTTATTCATTAGTTTATTCATTCTTTTATTTATTTAGTTATTCATTCATTCGTTCGTTCATTCGTTTTAATATTAGTGAATCATGTATTAGTTCATATACCCATTCAATAATGCTTCTGATTTTGCTATGTTACTCAACTTTGTATATTTACGCATTCATTCACTCATTCATTCACTCATTTTTTTATACATTCATTCCTTTATTAATTTGATTATTCAATCATTCATTTTTTTATTCATGCTTTGTTCAATCAACTGCTGCTTAGCTATTTTTTAGTTTAACTTCAATACTAAGAAGTTCACTATGTTATGTCATGTTTCTCCATCCTTCCATCCATCCATTAATTCGGTTATTCATTCATTCATCAACTCATTTATTTGTTTATTCATCCATTTAACTCATTCAGTCATTCATCCATCCATCCATCTATCTTATCTAGTTTTAATTGCTTCTAAAACTCAAGTACTAACTGTAATAAATATAAATAAAAATATGAAAAACAATAATAAGAATGACAAAATAATAATAGCAACAACAATAATAATAATAATTATTATTATTATAATAATAATTATTATTATTATTATAATAATAATAATAATTATTATTATTATAATAATAACAACATTTTCAATTACCCTCTAGAGATTCTTATTGTTAGTATTGCTTATCTAATTAGTATTAACAGTAGTATGTATTGAACAGTTTCTTGTTGTAATACCAATGCTCTAAATGCATTTTACCTTTTGAAACGTTATTAACATTTTATAACTGCTACTACTACTACTACTACCACTACTACTACCCTACTAGTACTACTTTTACTACTAGCATAACTTGTAGTAGTGATTGTGGTAATAGTAGTAGTAGTAGTGTTTGTGAGAATATAAGGATTTTTTTTACCAGCATATAAAAATCTTTGCATTGTGTAGATAAGTGATTTATTTTATTGATCAAATCTCAAGCCATGCCTAGTTTTATTTTTACATATATAGAATACATCTTACTCTCTATTGTATTGTGTAGTGCTGTATTGTTTTGTATCATTTTTTGTATTGTTCTGTATCATTATGGTTGAAGTTTATTGTATTGTATTACATTGTATTGTAATGGTCTACTACTACTACTACTACTACTACTACTACTACTACGTCACACAACGCACTCTTTATGAATGCCTAATTAGTTCTCCTGAATATTTAATGTAAATAAAATTCAGGTGAGTTTTATTTTGCTATGCTACTTAACCAAACTTGAGTCACCCACGTTT